GACCATTAAATTGGGAAATACTGTAAAACACAGAATATTATTCAGCTCATAGTCATGCAAAATACAATCTATCGGATCGGATCCTGCAGACTTCATTTGTTTTTTTCTTGTCAATTATTCCTGTGATTAAATTTGACCAAATAGTGATTGAGTAACAAATTGATGAATTGTTACATGTTATATTGTTGTCCTAAATATTATCCTACACAAACAGAAGTACAGATTGATGCTATTACAAAAATAATCTTGCTTAATTTATGAAAACGTGCACTATACGTAGAATACATAGAAATAATTTATTTCAAATAGTGTTTACAGTCGGTGAGAAGCAGCACTTTACATGCATTTGCAGTTTGCATATTTTAAACAGCTATGCATTGTGAGTTGTACTGGGTATGCATTTTTAAAGGAGCCAAAAGTCTATATTATTTGACTTGCTTAAATTATTTTCCGTCTTCATTTTAAACTCAGTCCACGTCATTTAGAGCAGTAATAAAACCAAATGTTCTGGCTAATAGTGCAAAAAATTTCGAAGTCACGGTATGCTGTGTAATTTCTAGACTACTATACTGTGAATAGCCTTCACGAGTTATTGCTGCGTGGGAGGACATCTACAAATGGGGGCGGAGGATAGAAGAGGAGAGAATTGTACGCTGTTTGCTTCACAATCTAAATTTAGATCATTTAAAAACATACTTTTATTATCAATAATAGCGGTATTTAGAAATAAGGCTCGCTTCGAACCCGTCGCTCCCCATAAATATATTTTAAAAGAATGTGGTAATTATTTGTCAGGACATGAAAAATAATCGTTCAAACATAAATAGAAGAAAGGGATCCAAAGATCTCCAAAATCTAGAAGTCCGTTTTAGATGATAGAGCTGAAATTAAGAAAGTCGCTGAGTAATATTTAACCATGTCCAGCACCAGGACTGTGAAGTTGTGTTGCCCAGTGCTCTGTTCCACCAGCACTGAGCAACACCCAGTCAATTGAAGGAGTAACATTGTGACATTGGAGACAGGTTATTTATCTGTGAGATCATATGCCAAATTGCCCTGCTGCTCATTTTATGTATGTGTTCATTTATTTTAATATTAACAATCAATGTTATTTTCAACGTCAGTGGTACACATTTTGTGTTGCAGAATATCTTCTGGTGAGGAAGAACCATTAGTTGTTGTCATTGTGATGCAGCAAAGATAACAGTAACTGTTATGTAATACTCCCAATCAATAAAAGTTCGTTCAATTCTATATTTAAGTTTGATAATGCATTAAAATCATCGTAATCTCTGTGTGTATTGGATTACATTCATTATTAATATAAACTTAAACTCCGTGCAATTTTTTTTGATAAGTGCGGGTATGTACTCCTAAATGTGACTTGAAATCTATTTGTAAAACTCATTTGTAGTGGGGAGCAATGCACACAGCACCATATACAGGAGCAGTATATCGACTTGCATTTGGAGATCCTAAGTTTATGAAAGCCTCAATTCAGTGATTACCCTGTGTGGTCAAGAGTAATTGTCCCTCATATCTCAATGCCAAAATTACCCCTGCCTGCACTTTGATAATGTGAAAATTGTATCTGTCGAAAACAATAAATCGTCCGAACATTTACGACATTCAATTATTACCTATAAAATATTAGACAGGTGGGAGATTGACTATGTTCTGAAACACTGTAATTACGCTGCACCCGAATCCATTAGCATTCAGTACATCTTACATTAATTGGTGTAGAAGCAAACTTATGTGCGAGATTCACGCTGCTGTGGTATTTATCCTCTCTGCCTAACGCTCTTGAGAAGAGATCTTTTTTTGGATGGAAACCTAATGGCTTATTCTACAAGCTTCAGTTGAGATTTTATTAATTTTACAAAAGGAGTACTTAACATTAAAAATTAATTTGGACTTCAAACGTTAAGCGCCCTTCAATATTAATACAGTAACAATATGGTAGAACAACACAGTAGGGAACTGGGAATGCGCATGTTTGGAACAAGTGCGAGAGGAGTTTCTTCAGAAGCTATTTTAACATTATAAAGATTTCAGATGAGAAAATATAATTGTTCAAAATAAACTAATCAAGACCACGAGTAGAGTCAGATTGAATGTGTGATAGAGGCCACCAATGGAAAACGTGACTTGCAATATGTATGCAAAATCCACTTTACAGTCGAAACAGAGAGAAAAAAACTCAGGCCTTGTTTTTTTTGAAATACGGCAACTAGTTTAAGTTTTTTTTAAAATCGCTTTATTTATAAAATGCACTATACACAACGTTGCATAACGGAGGTATAATTTGGAACTGGTGTGAATGATCTGGGGATTATGTGAACGCCTTGCCAGAAGTTGGAACCATTGATATATTTTCCATGTGTCAAGAGCCCCAGTTCTCACATGCAGCATTCGAGTGGTAGAGGCTTCGTCCTGTTTGGCATGTGGTTTGCTATAAATCTTTTTTTTGTAGTCAGCCGGGTGGAAACCCATTACCACACTTGAGAGCATGCAACCCAAATTGAGAGCTCCATGCATCCCACCTATACATGGAAATTCCAGAGGTTTGTTTCGAAATAATTTGTATTGAATTAAACGGAATTAATATTGGGGACCTGCATCGGGATTAGAATGCCTGGCCATTGAGTTGAGCAGTTACCAAAAGCACTGAGCCAACAGCGTTGGAAACAGAGTACCAACCAACAGCTCAGGTCATAAACCAGGCAGGTGTTGAGAAACTTCTTATAGGGGGGAAATAAATCCGGACGAGAGGACAAAAGAAGGGAAACACTGTGAAATAAATATGTTCATCGCCCATTTTGTAAAAATATAGTTGGGTATGTATGGTTACGATTCTGAATTATCTTTAAAGCAACGGTAATATATTTCTATCCAGTGATATTATTCAACAGGTTTATAGAAAATAAAACATGTATATGTTTTAGTATTTGGGGTGGGGGAGGGGGTGGAGCATTACATAAACCCCCAGCAGGTAATCTATGCCTTTCTATTCCATCGTGGCTGCCACGTATTGCATTTTTCTGAAATAAAGAGATTTGTAACCATTTACCCTTCGCCAAGATGGAAACTCTGTCCACAGTAAGTTGTATAAACGCTGAAAAATACCAGATCAGAGCCTCGCGTTCAGCGCTATTGGCTTAGTTAACAGCCGCCACAGATCGCTTGTTATACCGCGTGTGTTTGTGGGGTGTGGGGGGGGGGGGGGGTTCTTTCTATCAGATCCATGTAATGTTTTCATGTCAATCCTATCCCACAGATTACACAGATGCAATGAAACAACCTCTATAAACCCGAGACCTAGTTTATTTAAACGCCATGGGCTTTTATTTTGTGTGAGAGTATAATTCCGGTCACATTCTGTGCCCATATATATGTCAGGCCGGGGGTACACAGGATATTACGAACTGCAGTTAATAAAATTGTTATTGGACAATTCAATGTACCGTCCTTTTAGCATGGTACTTATTTAGGCTTTGTTATTAAATAAATTAAGACTAAACGACCCACTTATTTATGAATGGTGTTGGGTAAAAGTTGAAATTGGTTTAAAAAATGCTTATTTCATGAAGACTTTGTTTCCTCTCCAAGATCACTGGAGTTGTAAAAGTGTTGGTCTTAAATTAGTAATAAACCTTGGTTAATGAAACTGAATGTTTATTCTACCGTTCAAGGCGGCTGGTGCATTGAGTGTGAATGAACTCCAACACCGACCCATCAAAGTAATACGAAATAATCCCTTTAAATGCAACTGACGACCTACATAGAAGTAAGAAACAAGGTACAAGCATCTGAACAATAAATTGCATTTTCATTTTAACGTTCACATTTAATATCAAACCAGTAACATATAAAGCTGTATAAATATGACGTGATATAAGGTTTATCCTTTAAACAGATGTTGCATAATATTTACAAACAGTCCCAGCAAGAAAATCGGATTACACTGATTTAATCAACTTACTCCACGCAGTGAAAGCTGGATAAATACCAGACTGTAAATAAACGATAAAAGATACATTCAGTCGAAACAACCGAAACGTAAAATTCACCGTCTTGAAACGAAGGTTTTAAAAAGAAGTTATTCCTTGGAATTTAACACATTTTGGGGGGAGTTAGGAAAAGGATGGCTCAGTAAAATTCAGATCCATATCTAAGCACCCTTTCCACCGAAATGCAAGTCAAAAGTGCACAAAGCAATGGGCAAAGCCCAAACATTATTAATTGAGTTTTATCAGGCCTTTTCTTTGAAGTCCATCGATTAAAAAAGAATTTAAAATGTCTAATATGAGAAACGAGAGTTAACACATACTTTACGCCAGCTGAGTCAGAAAGAGAGAAACGCGTGAGAAACAGATACAAGGAAGCTGAGTGGAGATATAACATGTCGAAACAGAGAGAAAAAAACAGGCCTTGTTTTTTTTGAAATACGGCAACTAGTTGAAGTTTTTTTTAAATCGCTTTATTGTAACATGATCTGGTCAGATAAAAGATGTGGGTTTATATCGGTAGCATTTTGGGACAATAAAATAAATCCGCCTTTAATTATAAATAAGACTGTTAGCGAGACTCGGATGTGGTAAAATGTATTTTTGAACAAAGCATTAAAAACAAAGATGCCCTGTTAACCCTTAAAATCCATTGTACGTCTCTACATCACCCCCAGCTAACCGCTTAGTAAAATCCAACAAATCACAATGTAGATCAACATTGCACTTGAGCTGAACAAATAACATGTTCTGATAAACAGAGAACAGTCACTGAGTTAATTATTTGTTACTTGAAAAAATTGCCACAAACATAAATGCCCATCAAGGATGCGGAGTGTATTAAAGGTTCGTAAACGTAAATGCACGTGGAAAAGAGAACGCAAAGATGAGTGGAAAAGATAAGGAGACAAAACAAGGCAAATAGGTAGTGAATGGAAACATAAAACAGGAGGAAAATCCTCACCAAATTAGATACCATTTTTTTCCCCCGGTTAAACAGTATAAACAGTGACTAAATGACCTCTAAAAGTTTGTGTGATACAGTTATATACTGTTCTAAGCGATTATAGGTCTCCATCGAGAATGTGGAGGTATTTGCTGGCGTCGGGGAAGCAGAGGTAAGGCGTGCTGTTCCCCGGGTAGAGGACAGGGAAAGAGACGGGCAGCAAACATCTGCGCAGAAAGCTGCTCTCTTTGTACATGGTTGGCATCTGCACTATCTTGGGCACAGGTTCAGTTGTATTTGTTACCTCCAGTTCGGCGGACAGCTGCCTTTTCAGTTTATTTCTGCGATTCTGGAACCAAATTTTAACCTGGGTCTCAGTCAGTTGTAGAGAGTTCGCCAGACAGGCGCGCTCGGCGCTGCTCAGGTATCTCTTCATGTCAAACGTCGACTCAAGCTGGAAGATCTGGCTTTTGGAAAATATAGTGCGCGTCTTCTTTTTCGCGAGTATTTTAGTTTTCTTGCTGAGTTTGACCCTTGCGGTATCGTCGCTGTTATCGGGCGAATCCAATGATCCAAATGGCTCAGTGTTTTTTACAGTGTGCTTCGCGTCAATGGTGAATTGAAGTGAAGGGGTTGTGAGATAAGCTGTGTTCATCGATTCTGCATCACAAAACCGATCAAAGTCAGATTTCTATTGTGCTATCACTTTAATAAGCATCGCTTTTTTTATATGGGTTTACATTAGAATATAATTACTGAGTATTTAGACCGTGTAAACATTGACCGTAATTCCGGAAACTGCACCTTCTCTTCAACTAAACCTTTCATGCAAAATATCAACCTCCCTCAATTTGCTGATTTCTAACCTGAAACCAAAGGCCGAATTGGATCAATGCATGCGATTGGATATTTTCAGCGGAATCGTCGTATTAAATCTTAACAGGCAAAGCGTAGCCCCAGAACAAAAGCTAAAATAAATTATGATGTGCAGAAGACGGAACAAATTGTGTCGGGTGTGCAATTTACCTTGACTCATTTTTCTGTAGTCTTTCACGTGTCTAATGTCCATTTTTGTGGATTCATTCCGCGGATTTGAATCCGCCATACGCTCTGATATGGCTATGGCTGGCTGCTTGGCATTGTCGCTTTTAAGCTCTTTGCAGCTGGGACTGGGCTTGAGGATGCTGTCTATGGTAAATTTCAGCGACAGAGGCTGACATTGAATGGTCTCTTCCTTATCCATTATTCCCTGATGTTATGAAGCCCAGTAGATGTAACGTGCTCGTATTGTATCACTAATGTCCTAAAGGTTTCTATAATGATCTTCGTGCCGTCCTCGTCCCGCCAGCACCATTCCTGCCTGATTACAGCTGCAGTCAGTCATTTCAGACAAAGTTATTCACTCGGTCGGAAAATGGCGGCGCTGGAATTCTTTCATTGGATGGGATGTAAATAGCCAGATTGATCCAATGGGGAACGAGGGAAGGCGGGAGTACAGCGTGTCCCATCATTGAAGTCACAATCCACTGCATCGATTGCATGAGCGAGTGCAATCCTCAAAGCTTAAACCAGCAACTTCCTACCAAGAACCGATAATGATAAAAATGCTGATTAATTTCAGCTGCAATGTCGAGCAGTAACCATTACACAGTCAGTGTTTGTTTTATTGGTCGGCTGGAGGCAACTTCATACCACAACTTGCATTTATATATATAGTGCCCTTCACGCGGGGGTAGCGTCCTGGAGCGCTTGACAATGGCGGGGTCTCACGCTGAGCCAGCGGGAGAGGAGAGGGAGGGAGGGAGGAGGTGACCATAAGCACGATCAAAAAGGAAGGTCTTTTAGGCAGGTTGTGAAAGTGAGGAGGGAGGGGCGAGGTGGAGGGATTGAGTTCCAGAGCTTCAGGGCATAGTGGCTGAAGGCACGGCCACTGATGGTGGAGAGGAGGGGACAAGGGACAAAACAGGAGGCTGGAGCCAGCCGAGCAGAGGCAGTGGGTGGTGGAGTGGGGGGGTAAGCAGGTCAGATAGGTAGGGAGGTGCCTAGGGCAGGAAGGGATTGGAAAGTGAGTGGGAGGATTGGGAGCCAGTTGAGTCTGGCAAGCACAGGTGTGATGGGGGTATGGAGTTTTGTGTGGGTGAGTATCCGGCAGCGGAGTTTTGAATTAATTAGATTTTGTATATGGTGGAACTAGAGAGACCAGCAAAGAGGGCATTAGAATAGTCCAACTGGGAAGTGACAAATGTGTGCTGCATTGGTTGGGAAGTATGGACGGAGGCTGACAATGTGACGGAGGTGGAAAAATTTGTCCTGGTCAGAGAATGGATGTGGGGTAGAAAGGAAAGCGAGGATCGAACCTGAGGCCTAAGTTGTGCATGGATTCAGCGAGTCTGAGGGAGAGCCTGGGGAGGTTGATGAGTTCAGACCCATGTGAGAGAAAATGTTGACAGGAGCCAAAGAGTATGGCTTCCATCTTGCTGACATTCAGCTGCAGGAAATTTGCACTCATTCAGGCCTTGATATCGGTCAAGCAAACAAGATACAGGCATCTTCCACATGCTCTGCTATTGTTGCATGAATTATGTTACTACAATCAATTGCATCTATCCTGTCAGTAATGTAAATGAGTTGCCTTGTATCTTGATCTTTCGCCCCCACACACACTGTTTGCATCTATACATTGATATTTTATATTATTTTGTTGCAGGGGAAGACGAGCAGATGGCCAGTCATTGGGTGAGATGATATTACCTGCTCGGAACAAGGAATAGCGAAGGGTCTGACAGTGACAGTGAGAGCTCTGACCTTTTAACTCAGTTAGCAATTTCCATAATGCTCGGGGTTAGCCACTCTGTTCTGTAATAGCCCTGCTTCTCTCGGCCCCCGCCTGCAGGCTCCTAGCTGGGCATGTCATCAATATTATAGATCAAGAACACGGCAAAGCTGCTTCAGTGCATGCTGTTGGCCATCCATTGGCGATTCTCCAAATTCAAACATTCAGGTAAGAGACCCCGCTTTGTTAAAGCGCAACTACACTGTGCGATGCAGCTGAGTCCAGCACAGCTCTTTCCACACGTTTTGATCACTGAGTATATTGTGTACATTCGTGTCCTTCCAAATGTTCAACCCTCTGAGCTTAATGACTCACACAGTTCACACTGTTTTATTCTATTGGCCGCTTGTTCACACTGTCCCGTAAACTAACCTGCTCCTGTTACATATCTGTTTACCCACTTCTCCTATAGTACTGTACTGAAATGATGGTGTTGTGAATTCAGAGCGCTTCGCTCTTATACGGGATCTCTTATAGCCTTCTCACATTGCGTCAGGACTCTGTATTAAGGCTGGATGCTTGGAGCAAAGCAGCATCAGCAACAAAACACGTTTACCATTCCCTCCATCTCTCTCGCCGTATTTACCTCTTCGTATTTCCTGTGCTTTGCTTAAATCCTTGGGGAAATAAGACCTGCTTTTGATCGGAGTGGTGACTGTGAAGGAGCTGGTCCTTGGGGCGTGACCTCCAGAGGCAGGAGTGGGTTCCCCGCCTAACCTCGTTCCCACGGTGGGACTGAAACTCAGTTTCCTTCCATCCACAATTACCACAGGCTCGGCTCCTCCATAATCCACTCCAATTTACCGGCTCAATAGCTGAGTGTATTCTCGCAGAATTGGCATATTTGCAATTAAAACTGTTAAGTGAATCGCCTAAAACCTATCACCACTTTCAGGAGGTTTCCAGTTCTGACCCTGTTCTCAGCTATGATGCTGTTCAGGCGCCCAAAAATATCACGAGGAGACACTCAGCTTTTTTTGTATTTTAAAAAAAAGCCATCGTTGCTCTGTCGCGGTGCATTGAAGCTCCATTCTGATAGGGTCAGCGAGGTCTCTTTTGTCAACGCCTGAATGATCTTTTATATTAACCTGCTGAAGAGGTTTGCCGTTTGTTTTTTTTTAGCAGAATTCATATTCTTTCAAGCTTCAGCGACCGCAGCAGAGGAACCATTATGGTTCAGACGCTGCATTTAGAAACCTGGCAGCTCAGGATAGGAATGCACAGCATCTCTTTGATCGTGCTATCGGTCATCGCTCCTCTGCCCCTACCCCCAGCCTAGTTCGGTTGCTTAGGCAGCATTGTCAAGCGCTCTGAGACGTCCTACCAACTTGAAGGACGCTATAGATATATATATATATTGCAATGTACACCCTCGTATGTCTATCTGACTGGTCCGCAAGGAGAGCGAGTGATTTTATAACAATCTTTCCGTTTGATATAATGACTTTCATGTCGAAAGGATGTCTCAGAATGCTTCAGTGTAGACACTGTGTATTTTGTAGATGAACATCTAATAAATGCATATATTGCTCAATGGGAGGAACATACAGCACGCGATCTGATAATTATCACGATCTGCTTCCCATATCTCACAGCGTGGCTCAGATGTTAGGACCTTCACTTCTGGGTAAGAAAGTGATGGGTTAAAACCCCAATTCAGGACTTTGAACTCCACTGCAGTAATGCTAGAGGCTGCATTGTCAGAGTGTGCTGCCCTTTTCTCTTTTAAACATCGAAATATAGGGGGAAATGAACTGAAAGAGGCCATTTAGCCCATCAAGTCTGTTTCACCATTTATTTGATCATAGCAATTACTTTATTCTCAATAAGCCAGCTGCGGGAGAGGCCACGGGTTACAGCATTCTGGATGATTTGCAGCCTATAGAGGGAAGAGATGGGGAGGCCGACAAGCAAGGAGTTTGCACAGTCAAGTCTCAATGTAATGAAAGCATGTATGAGGGACATTAAACATCTGCATTGTAAAAAAAAACATTCATACATTTGGTGCCCTTCATGTAAGGTAGCCTCTTGGAGCACTTAACAATGGCCTTGTTTGATACTGAATCCAGGAGATTACTATAGGTATGATCCAAGAGGAAATTCTTCAGTTGTGATCTGAAAATGGACAAAAAGGTGTCAAGGCAGAAAGATTGAGACAGGGAGTTCCAGAGGGTCAGGAACATAGTGCCTGGAAGCATAGCCACCAATGGTGGAGTGGAGGGGTCAAGGGAAGTGCATCTGCTTGTTCAAGTTGTTTGCTTGTTCATAGTGTTGTTGAAGATCCCATGATACTATTCCAAGAGAAAGGAGTTCTCCTGGTTTCCTGGCATCAATCCTCAAGATTCATTATTCATTTACTTCATGGCTATTTAGAAATTGTTACTGAACAAATTGATTGCTGCATCTTTGCCAAATAGTTATCCAATTACACCCGTGCTTGTCGATGTTGAATTGCAAATTTATAACTATCTTGGATGGGGGTAATGAAGGTAATCAGGATCTATTTGGGATTGAGGTGGCTCCGAGATGATAGAACATTGGAATTGTGTTGATCCTCTGTGCCAGTGTCAGAAGAACAGCAACTGAACCAGAGGTCTACTCTGACATTATTAATGATGGACCAGAATTTATTATTTGCAGAATTTGGAGAAATAGACTAGTTGCTGGATGCTGACCAGTTGCTCTATTACAGCTTTCCCATGCACGCCAAAGCTGTAATAGATATGGCGACCGTATTTGGAAAAGCAGTGGGAAGCTTGCCAGTGTTCAAGTTGTGCAACTTTAATGGAACAGTACTCCAGTGCACACTCTGGGATCCCCAAGCCTTGGTCTTGTCAACCTGCATCTAAATACCCCAAGTTTGACTAAGCAGAATATATCTCTCTGGGGAAAGAGTATGGATCTTTATCACACAACCAAAACTCTTACATAAATGGAACTCTGAGGAGTTTGTTTTAGAGTTTCATATACGTGATGAGAGGTATCCACATGTTTTAATTTGTTGACACAAACCAGGTAACGATGCTATATGTAGAAGCCACATAGTCATCTCCACTTACTCAGATCTAGAAACTAATGTGTGATACTCACAGGAATTCAACTAAAAGCTGATTGAATTACAGATAATCATTGTAAATGTAGATAACCCTGTATGAAATATTACAAATTCAAAGTAAACTTGAAACTCACTAATTTCTATTGAAAATATCTGATATTTTACATTGCATTATTTGCTAAATCAGTTTTTTTTCTTTTTCGTTGGTTATCAAGTTGTCAATTCATAGTGTACCACTGCAAGGTGGAATTTTATCAGTGCAGCAGTTATCAATATGTATCAGAGAAACCCAATATCTAAGCAGTTCTATTTCTTCCTCCTGTAAAACATGTTACAGTAGCACACAGCATGTGCAGCATAATTCATTCTGGCCAATTCCCAAAGGCCCAAATTGGAGTTATGCAACATATGTTATGTAGCATAGCTTCACATTGTTTATGAGGTGGAATATTTCAGAATTGCTTAAAC